GACACCACCGATGAACCCAAGCAATCGGTGTATGCTGCCCCGTGTGCTTTGCAAGCAAGCTCTTCATGGCTGCGACGGTATTTAGAAAACTATCTGAGAAATGCAAGAAAGCTTTTAAAAACGGCATCAGGCTAGGACGCTGCCAACCAGGACCCAGGAGGGGAGGGTGGTGGGAAGGACCAGAGTGAGGAGGAGGGCACAGAGGAGGACACTGGTGCCCCCTGCTGCCCAAGAAGGGGCCAAAAGGGAGCAGTCAGCACCCCCCCCACACACACACACCCCACAGACACCCACACATGCAGACGCACACGCAGGTGCACACGACAGACATGACAGACACGCACACGCAGACACACAAAAACAGACACACACTCAGTGGGAAAAAAAGGAAATCAAAGTGGCAAAGTCACAATGTTTTAAAACAGCCTACCTACTGAGTTTATCTGAAGCACATACTTTTTCTCAGAACACCTGCGTGACCACAGGGGCCTGAATACAGGCATCAGGAGGCACACGAGGGCCGAGGCCCCGCCAGAAGCACCTGGTGGAGGGGCGCCAGGTGCGGAGGGAGGGGGGGCTGCACACCGGCAGCCGAGCAGGCAGGAAGCGCTGTGAGGAAAGACGCCCGACGTCCCCGCGTGACGGCCTCGTTGCCAGCCAGCGGCATGGCCTCCCGGGGCAGCGTCAGGGCAAGGGCTGAGGCTCTCCTCGTGGGGAGGACCCCTCGCTGGTCACCACCGCATTCCACACCCAGCCACCATGTGCTCAGCTGCTCTGCAGACGCCCGGCCATGCCAGGCCCCGGGGCACAGCCGAAACAGCCTCCGCCCTCCCACGTGCCCTCACTTGGCTTCTGTGGAGATGCATTTGTCTTGTAAAATTATCAGAAAGAAAAGCTAGAGTCTGGTTTGTTTGGTTTTTTTTAATCTTCATCCATGCAGAAAAAGTTCCAGGAGAGTCCACTGTCCGCACAACTCTGCCCCCACCACCCAGACTCGGAGGCTCTCATAATCACCTCAGGTGACAGCGAAAATGACATCCGTAGCAGCCACAGATCCCTATCCATAGACTGGGACGATCTGCATCTGTCACCTGCGCCTTGCATGACAGAGATGTGAGCTGGCACACATGCGCCCGAGTCTGTCGGAAACAGAGTCTGCACCTTTAGGTTACGTTAACCTGCTGCCGATCCACAAGAAGCTTCTGCCCGCACACGGTAGCTGCTTCGACTGTACAAGGGGAACCCAATACTGCTGTTCACCATGCCTCCTGAGTAGAACAATAAAAGCTACAGAGGGAGCTCTTCTCATTTGCAGTTTTAAAAATGAGTTGTGAGTTGGGGTGCCTGGGTGGCTGAGCGTCCAACTCTCAGTTTCGGCTCAGGTCATGACGTCAGGGTCGTGGGATCAAGCCCCACATCGGGCTCTGTGCTCAGCAGGGAGTCTGCTTTTCCCTCTCCCTCTGCCCCTCCACTGCCCTGCACACTCACACACATGCGTGTGCTCTCTCTCAAATAAATAAATAAATCTTAAAAAAAATGAGTTGTAAGTTAATCTAATCTCCACATTTATTTACAAGGCCATCATGATGTCCCAGGGTGTGTGTGTGTGTGTGTGTGTGTGTGTGTGTAGGCACAAGAGTTCTACCACAGTGCAGACTTCCACCAAGCTCTAGAGATTCTTTCGCATGCTGCAATATACGGATATAATTTAGACACAGTTGTTCACACCAAACATGAATTCCAAGATTTCTCAAGAAGAGGACACCACTCAAAGTGGATTCCACGTCTCAGCTTGGCGCAGAAACCCACTTCTCCATGGTTCCCTCCTCCTGTCCCCCAATAAGATCCACAGAGCAGAGTGTCAGGACACATGTGAAGGGGGACACGGAGAACAGCCTTAAGCGAAGACAATTCCCTGCGAGACGCATGCCCCTCCTAGAGGTTCCAAGAGGTCGGCGCTGGGACCTGCTCCACCTCTACCCACCGGCCCTCCTTCCCACCCACTGCCCCTGGCAGACCCCTCCACTGGGGGCACGACTCGGGGTGTGAGACACACGGCTCTCGACTGCAGGAGGCTACCACTGTCCAAACCATCATGCACATCAACGGAAACGGAAGTGCAGACCGCAGCCGAGCGGGGACACGCGTGAGGTGCAGCACGGCAGCAGAGCGCAGGTATGTCCGCGCGGCGCTCACAAACACGAGCCGGACGAACGCAACGGGGAGTACGTGCCAACAGCCCCACGCGGCCCTCAGCCAGCCCAGGCACGAAGAGGTGGAAAACACGATTCGACATCAACACCGCTGGGAGGTAAAGGGCAAGGTGCACTTCTGGTCCTGGGAAAGACCCGCCGTAACGATGGTGATGCCCAAGCCCCACGGTAACGTCTGTGATGCTCTGGGTCTAACCCACATCTAACGTCCTGCAGGGCGGAAGCCTCATGACTGGCGGGGAGCTCAGTGCAAAGCATGGACCCCAAGTGTCCATGAGCAAACGTGTGCAGTCGCCCCGCAGCCTTCTGAGTGAAGGAAGTCTGCAGGGCGAGCACAAATCCTTACTCCAAGATCTTCCCGAGGTGTCTGGGCCGGAGCAGTCTGGGCCCTACTCCCGGGAGTGTGATTCGCACAGATGACCTGGTGCGGATCAAATGGGAACCAGGAAGAGCTCCGGAGGGCGAGGGGGGCCGTGGGGGGCGAGGGGGGCGCGGGGGGCGAGGGGGCGGGGGGACGCGAGGGGCGAGGGGGGAGTGGGAGCGAGGGGGGCGTGGGAGTGGGGGGTGGGGGGCGCAGGGGGCGAGGGGGGAGTGGGAGCGAGTGGGGCGCGGGGGCGAGGGGGCGTGGGGGGCGAGGGGGCGTGGGGGCACGGGGGTCCGAGGGGCGAGTAGGGGGCGCGGGGGGCGAGGGGGGAATGGGAGCGAAGGGGGTGCAGGGGGCGCGGGGGCGCGGGGGGCACGGGGGGCGAGGGGGCGCGGGGGTCCGAGGGGGGCGTGGGGGTCCGAGGGGGGCGTGAGGGTGCGGGGAGTGGGAGCCGCACGCTGAGGCGGCTAGGCAGCTCCCTCCTGACGCGGGAAGGCAGAGCGCACTCCGGCATGCCAGAGACACAGTGCCAGTGTCCTGCCTGTGACAGGGAAAAGCTGAGCTCCTAGGACTTCGCCATGAACGCCATGACACAACCGTCTTTGTTCTTGGAGAAGATGACACACGAGACAAGCCCATCACAGAAGGGCTGGCCGCCATCAAAGACCGGTGGCAGGGTGAGCGGCAGGCTTCTGGAGACCCTGATGGGAAACCGTGAAGCAGGGTGGCCTGACAAAGCGCTCCGCCCAAGCCTGTGGACAACCAGGGCGAGACCACCACTAACCCGGTGGCTTTGACCCACGCCGCTCACAGCCCCCAGGAGCCGAGCACAGCGCCCAGCTGACAGCCAGCAAGCTCCCACCTACGCCCGGGACCCAGCGCTTGCCAGGATCCTGCTAGGCCGTGGGGCCTCGCGACCACGGGGACTGTGGGGGAGGGCGATGTGCCGTGTTCGTGGCACCTTCCCACGCAGTGAGCCCGGCGCCAAGGTGGGCTTTGGTCCGAGGCAGTGGGTGCTGGCTGTGGGAACCCTGAGCAGCAAGACAGACTGCCCTGAGCAGCCTGTCAGAAGACAGGGGCACACAGAGGATGATGCCTGAGAAGGCTCAGACGGAGGGGAATGTTCTGGAAATAGGAGGGAGGGTCCTTGTTAGGAGGTGGCAGAGGGCTAGGAAAGCTAAAAATGAAAAGGTAGGGGCGCCTGGGAGGCTCAGCTGGTAAAGTATCTGCCTTTCATCAGATCAGGTCATGATCTCAGGGTCCCGGGATCGAGTCCCGCATCAGGCTCCCTGCTCAGCAAGGCGTCTGCTTCTCCCTCTGCCTCTGCCCCCCCGCCTCGTTTGCTCTCTCTCTCTCTCTCAAATAAATAAATAAAATCTTAAAAAAAAAAAAACCACAAAGGTAGATGTGAAATTAAATAGAAAGACACTCCCCGGGGAGCAGAGCATCCCAGCAGGGGTTCCCAGACACGGCGCGCCCGGGGAGGCAACAGCAGAAGACAGCCACACACACTAGCATCCTGAGGCTGGGCCAGGAAGGGAGAGTACACTGAATGTGGGACCCGTGTGCAGATGCTGCAGAAGGCCCATTAGCCAACCGGGAAGGCTGATACTGAAGGAAACACTTTAGAGACCACACAGCACAAAACAGACTTTATTCTGCTTGCAAAGGAAGATGGAACCTGGGGTTTTCCCCAAAGCCGGAATTTGAATACAATTTACGGACAACGACAGAGAAAGGAGAATGGAGGAAGATGCATGGCCAGCTGGGCGCCAGACGTCTAGGCTGACACAAACGTCAAAGGCCCCAGAGACTTCAGAGCCAAAGAGCACATGGGGCAGAGGCTTATTAGGAGCACGGACCCCCCCACACACGCACACACGCATGCACACATATACACAAATCAGCTACCCTCGCAAGGAGCACAGTGAACTAATGTAGGAGGACCCCTGCATCTGTCATTTGAGACCCTCCAGCACATCACTCTCCTGCCCCAGGGGGTCGACGTGCCTGGAACAACCGTGACTCCAGCCTCCGGTCTCAGACTGCGGCTCATATTAACTGTGACAAGCATCTGCCTACAGCATCACAACTTCTCTGTGCAGCCCCTGTTCCCATCATCACCCCGTAAGTCAGGCACTGGCCCATTAACAACGTAAAACCAAAAAAAAAAAAAGGGCGCCTGGGTGGCTCAGTTGGTTAAGCGACTGCCTTCGGCTCAGGTCATGATCCTGGAGTCCCGGGATCGAGTCCCGCATCGGGCTCCCTGCTCGGCGGGGAGCCTGCTTCTCCCTCTGACCCCCCCCCCGCTCTATCTCATTCTCTCTCTCTCAAATAAATAAATAAAATCTTAAAAAAAAAAAAAAAAAAAAACAACGTAAGACCAATCTTGCAGGTGCGTATCAACACCTGCAAATACTCACGTTTATTGTAGCACGTGGCCAGCACACCTCTGTCGGCAGGGCTGGTACTAATGTGCCAGATCTCACCCACTTGATGGAGGAGGACATTTTTATTTAGGATGTTATTTTCGTCATCAAAATCTATGATGTGGATCTACAAACACAAAAAAAGAGCACATCAGGACTTCACTTCCTGTGTACCTTAATTAAACTCAGTGATCACAAACAATAACCAAAAGCACCTTTAACATCTTTGTTATTGTTACCACACTAACAGCGTACACGTCTGTGAGCTCACCTCCCTGTGTTCTTCTCAAAAGACAGGTCTGAAATCCCCACAGAGTATTTTTAAGTTTGCAAGCTTACTGCCCCCATTATATCCAGTGCTAAAGAAACAGGACAGCCAAAGCTCTGTCCTCAGGTGGCCCCAGCAGGCCATGGCTGGCCTTAGGGCTAGGGCTGTCAAGGGTTGTGCAAATGAGCCTAGCGCCTCGGCGAGCGGCCCGTGGCCGTGCGACACACGGAGCCCCTGCCCAGCCAGAACCAGGGCCACCCGCACAGTGCTCACGCCAGACGGGGCATAACTCAGCTCGTGCACCGGCAGTGACAGAGGTGGGAAGGGGTGAGAAAGCATTCCACATGAACACATCTTAAACATCTTTCCAGAAAGGAGTCCGACAGCTGCCAGTGCTTACAACTGCACGATATACAAATGTAATAGTATTATATTTTAGCCACGAAAAATTAAATACGCCCCTGCCATGCTTTTCTGGACAATTTTTTACGGGAATAAAATGATTTTCACATTCACACTTTTATCAGCACCCAAGTCAATGAGAAAAATAAAACATTTGTTTTAAAAATAAATTTATACTAAGAAAATATTCATGGATCTTCATGAAGATCTATATCCTGGCATGTTCACTGCGGCATTGATTATCACAATGAGTAATTAGAAGTCAGCTTAATGTCTGGCAATAGGGAATTGTTCAAATAAATTGTAGTATTTGACTGTAATGTAATACTACAGAGCCATTCAATATGCTATAAAGGACTATTTAGTGCCAGGAAAGAGGGTCCATAACATATATTTAAGGGGAAAAGAACGAACAGAGCTGTGTGAGGGCTGTGTGCGGTGTCTGTGTAAAAAGCAAGCACGCCCAAACCAGGAAAGAGCCAGGAAGTACATGGTTATCCGCGGACGGTGGGATCGTGGCAGGTTTTCCTTTACTTCTTTGTGGTTTCTTGTATTTTTCACATTTTGTGTGTGATTAATATGCATTATTTTGCAATCAGAACATTAAATGCTGTTTTAAAAAATGTTTCCATGACACCCAAAAGCCTCAACACTCAGCACTTGGTTCAGAGAGCCTCATTCTAGTCTTTACTGCTTCCTCCTATGCCCGGTTTTGATGGAAAAATAACCTCCAGTCCCCATGAGGGGTAGCTCTGGATTCAAATCCCACACTAACACCACAAGCCTGTGTGACCCTGCGCCTCAGTTTCCCACGTGCACGTTGAAGATGAAGGATCACAAGAAACCAAATGCAGGCATGCCTGGAAAACCACGGTGAAGCCGGCACACTCATGCCTTCCCCCTCTCCTCTGGGGGAAGAGATAAAAAACCATTCCTGCTATTTTTATTTTTAAAACTGCTTTCAGGGGACGCCTGGGTGGCTCAGTCGGTTAAGCGTCTGCCTTCAGCTCAGGTCATGATCCCAGGGTCCTGGGATCGAGCCCCACATCGGGGTCCCTGCTCCGTGGGAAGCCTGCTTCTCCCTCCCCGTTCCCCCTGCTTGTGTTCCCTCTCTCGCTGTGTCTTTCTGTCAAATAAATAAATAAAATCTTTAAAAAAAAAAAGATGTATCACAATATGTAAATAGGAACTATATAAATGTTCCAATTGAAATAACTGGATTTCTTAAATCAAACAGAGAAAGACATGTATCATATGATCTCACTGATATGAGGAATTCTTAATCGCAGGAAACAAACTGAGTGTTGTTGGAGTGGGGGTTGGGGTGGGAGGGATGGGGGGACTGGGTGATAGACACTGGGGAGGGTATGTGCTCTGGTAAGCGCTGTGAATTGTGCAAGACTGTTGAATCTCAGATCTGTACTTCTGAAACAAATAATGCAATATATGTTAAGAAAAAAAAAAGAAGAAGAAGAAGAAGAAGGTAGCAGGAGGGGAAGAATGAAGCGGGGGAAATCGGAGGGGTAGACGAACCATGAGAGACGATGGACTCTGAAAAACAAACTGAGGGTTCTAGGGGGGAGGGGGGTGGGAGGATGGGTTAGCCTGGTGGTGGGTATTGAGGAGGGCACATTCTGCATGGAGCACTGGGTGTTATGCACAAACAATGATTCATGGAACACTACATCTAAAACTAATGATGTAATGTATGGGGATTAACATAAGAATTAAAAAAAAAAAAGAAAGAACTGGATTTCTTAAAACCTGTCCCAGAGAATAAATGAACAACACAAAAATTACGGAACATTATATAGTTCTAAAAATCATGAAAAACACGGGGCATCTGGGTGGCTCAGTCAGTTAAATTTCTGACTCTTGGTTTCAGCTCAGGTCATGATCTCGGCGTCATGGGATCCAGCCCCGCATCTGGCGCCACACTCACTGGGGAGTCTGCTTCTCCTTCTCCCTCTGCCCCTCTCCCCACACCCTCGTGTGCGCACACACACCTGCACACATGCTCTCTCTCTCTCAAATAAAATCTTTTTAAAAATCATGATAAAGAGCAATTATAAATACCAAAAATGTTATGAAAGCACTAAATTTTACAAGCAGAACACAGACTACAAGGCAATATACAAAATCGGGAATAATTTTTGTGTTGTTAGGGTAAAGAGGAAATTCTTTTCTTCTTTTCTTTATTATTTGACACATTTCCTGCTTATTTGGAAATTCATTAAGACTGAAAACATGAATGAATGCGCTTAAATGTACTGTTTTTCTGTTCCCTAATCTATCGCTCTGCAATGCACTCAAGCGCTAGGAGCCCCACAGCTGACAGCACCAGAGTTCTGGCATCAGAATTCCCGTTTGCTGGCTCAGTCTCCCCCCCCACCCCGGAAGAAAGCGCCCCCGTCCCCTGCATCAACTCCCAGTGCCCTGCACACCGGTACCTCTGCCCCCTGGCCCAGGACCTGTGGCTGCTGGGCTCTCCTGCCTAGCCCCCTCTCCCCCTGCTCCAGGTCGCTTTCATCTGGGGAAGGGTCCTCCTTCTCAGCACCTCGCCAGGACACCCTTTTCTCCCGTGGGAGGACATGAAACACATGCTGTCCACAGGCTCCAACACCTGACCCAAAGTTCCTCTAGGCTCCTTTCTGCACTTCCAGGTACACGGACACAGCAGGAAGGAGGGACACAGCTAAGAGCCCCCCCCCCAAGTCCATCTCTCCTAATCTGACACGCTCTCACGCTACTGCAGCCCTTAACCTTCACCTTCAAGCTTGACAGTCCTGAGATTTTTCCACATATCCTCATTTACAGTGGGTCCTAGGCAGGCCCACAGGATATGTCCTCATGAGATGTTTTAATCTGGGTATGTTCAGAAAGCACTGTAAGACATCACCACCATAGGGCGTCTGGGTGGCTCAGTTGGTTAAGCGACTGCCTTCAGCTCAGGTCATGATCCTGGAGTCCCGGGATCGAGTCCCACATCGGGCTCCCTGCTCAGCAGGGGGTCTGCTTCTCCTTCTGATCCCCTTCCCTCTCGTGCTCTCTGTCTCTCATTCTCTCTCTCTCAAATAAATAAATAAAATCTTAAAAAAAAAAAAAAAAAAGATTTAAAAAAAAAAAAAGACATCACCACCATAAACAAAGAGATCAGAGTAACAATGGCTAACAAGTAAAATGGGCCAGGCACTATGCTATTTGACATACATTATTTCCATTAATCCTTAAAAGAGACATGTAATCATTAGGCATAATCTACAGGTGGAGCAACCCAGGCTTAGAGAGTTGACGTAGTATGTCTCATGCAGTTAGAAACAGGATTCCAGAGCATGTGCCCTGAACCCCCACACCATCTGGGGCACAAAGAGGCTCCCCGTGCTCCCCTGGGCTTTGCACTGCAGCCTGTGAGCAAAAATCAGCTCCTGACTACAAAGAAGGAGACTGTGTCTCAAACTGTCTGTTCTCAGGGCACCAACAGCTCCCCAGCTTACACGGACGTACAAAGAAATATCCTGTGGAATACATATATGCAGTTACAGGGCAGTTATGAAAACAATTCGAAGAAAACACTACAACTAGTGAGTGCAAAAGATTATAGGGGCACAAAAAAAAAGACCAATTAATGTTGGTTAAGAGGGTCGGGCAGACATGTGGTCGTCTGGGTAGTGCTTAATCGTTACTTTAAATTCTTCATGCCAGGGACAGCTGGGTGGCTCAGTCGGTTAAGCATCTGCCTTCAGCTCAGGTCACGATCCCGGGGTCCTGGGATCGAGCCCCGCGTCGGGCTCCTTGCTCAGCAGGAAGCCTGCTTCTCCCTCTCCCGCTGCCCCTCCCCCCTTGCTTGTGCTCTCTCTCTGACAAATAAATAAAATCTTTTAAAAAAATAAATTCTTCATGCCATATCTGAGTTTTTAAAATATTTTAACAGCTTATAATGAAGATCAAACTCATACATTCTGAATTACCACTATTAAGTATTTTAAAGTTGGACTTACTAGTGTGGGGCTAAGGGCACAGATGAAGATGACTCTATAAAAAGGGGTAAGAGCCACAAAATTCATTAGGAAGCCCGTGAAGATGTTACCACACTCTTACAAATGAAAAAAAAAGAAAAATTAAAAATAGGGATAAAATTGGAAATAAAAAATTAAAAGCTCCCTTCTTAGGGAAAGTTAAGGATCTGGTGGCTTGGCCTTGGGCACATCTTCCTACCAGAGGCCCATGAGCCAGCAGACCCCATGCCACACCGCCCACCACAAAAAGTGAATAGGCGCCTCCCGGCAGTTCCTTATGAAGAACACAGCACAGCAGGTGGCTAGACCTGGAGACAGCAAGTCCTCTTGCCCGTCTCACACCTCCAGCGCGCTCTCCTCCTAGCTCAAGTCAATACTGGAAAGCTCGGTTTCAGCTGCAGTCCTTTTTGCTTCAGGGGGACACACAGGATGCACAGTGAT